CTCATAACAGGGATTGATGAATATGACAGAAAATTACAATGACTGTTCCCAGAGACTCTCTAAAGCCATTTGAAAATATTTTATAACCATACAAATATTTCATTTCATTGCTGGACCCAGCAGCTACTCCCTACTTGTGATTAATGATTCTTGGCATGTGGTTAGTGTGAATGAAGAATGAAACTTCTAGTTTTATTTCATTTTAATTAATATATAAATAGCTACTTGTGGCTATCCTATTTAGATAACACAATGGGAAACCTGTTTGTCAAGAAAACTGAGAATGAATGACAGGGCCAGGATAGACATGCAATACATGCTTTGCAGAGTGTTTTCAGAAATGATGAGCCTTCCTAGGAACTGCATGAGTGTCCTAGATTTCAGTAAAATCTAAAATTTCCCAGGGAAGAGACCAAAATCTTATGGAAGAGCTCACTTCCAAAGCTAAACTTGGCACAAAATCTCTACTTACATTCTAATAATTATCTCTCCCATGCAAACAAAGCTTTGCAGTTAGAAAAGCAATTTCATATTCAAGCTCTTGCTTGAGTTTCACAGAGGGGCAATGAAATGGAAGGCAGAGTATGGGTTGTTTACAGAAGAAGCCAAATCCAGAAACCTTAGCAGATGACACAGAGAATTCTGTTAAAAGGTTAGAGTCAGCATGCCCCATCTGTACTCTTTGCTGGACTGTAAGAGCCAACAATCACTTAGACAGTTAAGAACAGGGTGGGCCTCTGGAGAAGGTGCAGGAATATTCTTTCATCCCCAAGGCTACTCCTACAGTGTTCCTGACAATCTATTAGGTTCTGAGGACAAAGCAATGCACAAGACTGGCAAAATCCTTGGTATTTATTCAATGGACAGAGAACCTCAGGATCAAGTCAATGCAGTTTGTTCCTAACCCTATTATCAACTTCCCGTGGTCACAATATTATGTGGCCATACTATGTCTCCCCAGTGAGAAGAGTCACACGGCTTACTAAACAAGCTGATGCATATTTCCTCAAAGAATTTTCCACTATGTCACACCAATTACTATCAGATAAACTACTCCCCTTTAAGAGTTATTGTAAGAAGTTAAGAATTTTTATTCACTTTATGTGAAGCCCTGGAAAAATGAATGCCAGAATATATTGGGTGATTCTGATCCATAAAAAGCTAGGACTTTGGTTCTTAAGTAAAATAAGCATGACATTCACCTTGGTAAAAATATCAGTTTAACAGTTTGGCCCTGATTCAATGAAAATGGCCCAGAAATCCATGTTTTTATTCAGTTGCTACTGATTCTAATGCAAGTGATCCTTGATCATCTTTTTTTGATGGATTCTTCTTTTTAAAATTTTTAAGTTGGCTCTCTGATGTAACAATGATTTTATTTATTTATTTATTTATTTATTTATTTATAAATTACTCTTAGAACCACAGTAAAATGTGTGGATATGGTAACTTGGCAAAGAACATTCATGTTATGGAGATGTATGGGCAGGGAGAAGTGTAGAACTAAGAATTCTGTTTTGATCACATTGAAATTCCCAAAATATGGCTGTCAAGGCAGCAAACTGGATCCTGTGCTCTGGGGCTTACAGAGAGCTATGACCTGGAGATAATAATCAAAGAGGGTTAACAGGGTCTGGCACGGTGACCTAGTAGTTGAAGTCCTCGCCTTGCATGCACCAGGATCCCATATGGGCACCAGTTTGTTGCTCCATTTTCCATCCAGCTCCCTGCCTGTGTCTTGGGAAAGCAGTAGAGGATGGCCCAGGCATCCTGTACCCATGTGGGAGACCTGGAAGAAGTTCCTGGCTCCTGGCTTCAGATCTTGGTTTCAGCCGTTGTGGCCACTTGGAGGCATTAACCAGCAGATGGGAGATCTTTCTGTTTGTCCTTCTCTTTGTAAATCTGACTTTCCAATAAAAATTAAAAATCTTTTTTTAAAGGGAGGGAGCAGTTAACAACATGAACATAGTAATTAAAGTTAGGGATGGTTAAAATCACATAAAATGAGGCTATAGTTTGAGTACCAAAACCTAGTCCCTAAAGAACCCCGATACTTGGAAGTCACACATAGAAAGAAGCATACAAGAGATGAGGAAAGAGTTGCTAGGGAGTTAACAGAAAAGCCAGGAGAGCATTGTGTTTAGAAAAATGAATATGGGAAGAAATCTCAACTTGAGAAGTAATCAGGGCCAATTATGTAAGGAGGGCAGTGAAATATATTGCTTTCAAAGATTAAACATTTCTAAAACAAAAATTAATAAAACTTTTGAAAAGCAAGCAGAATATAAGAAACTGTATTATCAAACTATATAACAAAGCATTAATATCCAGAATAGAGGAACCCAAAAATGAGTGAGAAAAATATTAAAGTTGGCACAAGCAGGGTCAAACAAATGAAGATGTAGTTCAGAGAAGGACAAACAATATCAATAACTAGTCTAAGAGGTTAACTTAACAAATCATCTGAGAATTGCAAATTAATTCATACCATTCTAAGTGATACAATAAAAGATTGATAATACTCAGTGTTGGTGAGGGGAAGGAGGAAAGAATTCCCAAACACCACTGATGAGAAGCAGAGTTGTTGCAGTCTAGTCGGAGGTCAATTTTGTGGTAAACATAACATTTTTAATGGCTCTTTCTTTTCAATAATGCAATTTCACTTTTGATAACTTTCTGAGAGAAATGCTGATATATATACCAAAAAGTGTGTATGAGGACATGAAAAACAATGCAATTTAATAGTGGCAAAACATCAGAAATGGCTATATGCTCACTATCAAGAAATAGTTAAATAAAGCTGAATGCTTGTTTTAGGTACAAATATTTATGAAATCACTAAAAAAAGTAAGATCTATGTAACTGCAGTGGAATGATATCCAAAATGTATTAAAGGATAAAAAAACAGGATATACAAAAGTACATATAAAACGATCCCATTTGTATGAAATAGCGGGAGAAAAAGCCATGCTTTGCATGTTTTTATAAAGGTTTGTAAACACATTGTGACAATCATCACAAGTTAAAGCAATCAATGTAAGTACAAATGACTTATCAATTCTATTCATCAGTTTAAGTTTCCACTGGCCATCAGGTGAAAGTGTTGGGCTTTGGTATAACAGTGAGCAAATGAGCAAAATCACTATCCTTGTAAAACTCATCCTCTAGTGGATTTGGATTCCAAATAATCATCTGCTTTCTGCTCAGGCTGTTCTTGGAAGATGTCTTACGAGCAACTTCCTGCAAGGTTCATGAACTCATGAAGAAACGTAAGGAACAAAGTATGGCAGGAACACCCATAAACCATTTCTAAAGCCTTATAGCAGATTATCAAATACAGTAGGGAAAAAATGGTACAACATTAATAAAATAAAATTGCCTAGGCTGCCCTAGAAACCACAAAATACTTTCTATGACAACTTCTGAAGGAAAAAGTCACTAACTTTCCAACTACTGAGTTAGCAAGTGAATGACTGGAACATACTCTCTTGGTACATTGTTGACAGCCTGCACTTAGGTAACTGCTGGCTTAAACAGGTCAAAAGGATCTGGGACCCATCCAGGTAGTTCGTGTAGACACACTTCATAGCTGAGTTACTTCTTTGATGCTAAGATATATCAATTAAAAGAGGATGCCAGCCTCTAGGAGTATCCTCTGAGGTCCTGCACCAGCTGAAACTCAGCATCATGCTAAACTCTAGCTACAAGTCTGCCACATTGGTAGCAGAAAATTGAATTCATGCTTCTGAGCAGCCTCTGAAGCATAATGTTTATATTTCATAGCAATTCCTATTTTCTCTTCACACATGCAAATGAAAACTTTCAAATTTTCAGCTGCCAGAACAGCTGAATACTGTCATCATCAGAAAAATTAACTGCTTGTCTCCAAGGAGTAACTATTCTTTAGAAATCTCCATGTGCCTCAGTGGGAAAGAAAACAATGTCAATAACAGTTTGTCTTTACTACAGGATGAACATATTTATCACACATAGCTTTTCACAGCTGAACAATTCTAGCCCAGGACAGCCCGAAAGATTTTAGGATTTGGATAAACACAAACCCATTAGACCATGAATATTTAACTCCAAAGTCATTCCCACCTCCATCAGCTTTAAAAAACAAGTAAATTATTTCAATCTTTGTTATTCTGTTTCTTCATTCATGGTTGTGCATCTGCCTGGAATCATTTCTCATTTCTCCCCCATGGTGCAAATTCTCTGATTCTCTTTAATCATATCAGCTTCATTTCTATTAATTTCTCAATCTAGATTGCCCATATTTCCATTGTATCATTTATTACAGAGTATTCTATTGTATATTTATTATTCTATTTAGTTTAGTTTATCATGTCCTTTTTATGGTGATTTTAAGTTATCAAGCAGTGTGCTATTATTAGTTTGACCAATATTTATGAAATTATTAGTTTTATGAATAATTACCCATGCATTAAGCCCAATAAATTTATTACCTCCAGTTATCAGGAAACCTTATGAATGTATCAAGTTTTACAGTTGATGAAAAGTAAATTCAGCAAGATTGTGCAGGTAGTTAGTAGCAATACTAAGAATCAAGATAAAATCTAGTGGATTCTAAAGCTGATAATCATTACTCTAAAAATACTACTTTTAAATACTAGTAGATAACATTTACTAAATGCTTACTAGATTTCAGACTTTATGCTATATGATCTATATACATTAGCTAATTTGGGTCTCACAAAAATCCTGTGATGTAGGTATCATTGATTATGATCTTATTGTGAAAAATGGAATTTAAAGTTCAGAATGGTTAAATGATTTAATCAAAATCAAGATCACAGAACTCGGGAGACTGAATCTGAATGTGGGTCAGTTTATTCCATGAGGAATGGCAGACTCTTGAAAATCTTTCCAAACATTCTACAGGTTCTCAGGAGTAAAATAGCATTTCTGGAAACCTGAGTTTTATCTCTTATGAATAATGTGAATCAACCAAATTGAAAAACTTTTTAAGTACTCACCTCAGGACATGTGTTGATCCATTAATAGTTGTGGTTGAACAGGGCACTGTCTGGCCCAGAATGGAAGGTCTTCGATAGCGTTCATCATCACAGCAAAGGATAATGAGGAAGGCACGTCTAAAAGACTTATTCAAGAAGGCGTAGAGAAAGGGGTTCAATCCGGAATTAATATAGCCAAGCCAGAGGAAGGCGGTCCATACCTTCTCCGGGACAGTGTAGTCTACAAAAGGATCCACAATGTTGGTGACAAAGAATGGAGCCCAGCAGAAGCAAAAACAGCCCATGATGATGCAGAGAGTCTTGGCTGCTTTGGTCTCTGTCCTCATGCGATGAGTGCTATGCTGGTCTGCTGGCTGAGGCCTGCTCTCTGCAGGAGCTCCTGCTCGTTCTAACATCTGGATCTGGTGGGCATGCTCCTTAGCTGTGACATAGATGCGATAATAGGCCAGCACCATGAGCAGAAATGGGATGTAGAAGGCCACCACAGAGCAGGTGATAGCATAGGGCTTGTTGACCATGAAGACACAATATGTAGAGTTAGAATTCTGGCTGAATTTTCTTTTTTCTATCTAAGAGTTGGAGAGAGAAAGGAAATGAGGAAGGAAGAGACAAAGGGAAGGAAAAAGTGAACATGCAGCAGAATAAAAATGAGAAAAATATAAGAAAATAAAAGAATTAACAAGAATAAGACAAAGGGGGATTGGAAGATAGAAGGGATGGGAGAGGGAAAAAGAGAAGGAAGAATAAAATAAAAAGGGAAGAGAAATATGATTTATCAGCAAAGCTTTGATTTTTTTTAAGGTTTGTTTTTAAACACACATACAGAACCTCATTATTTTTAACATATAGTTTACCCAATACTATGTCAATTAATTCCATAATGTTGTATAATGATACTGAGGCCTTGTTGGGGCTTTTAACTGACTGGATCTTTACTCTGTTAGACCTATCTTCAGACCATAGAAGGTCTCCCCAAGAGGCCACTGAACTTATCTGGACAATAAGACGCTGAACTTTATGCTAGGCATGTGTTTGCAAGCAATGAATCTCAACTGAACTTGAACTATGGTTATGCAACAAGGTGGAGGAATCCACCATGGGGGGAGGGGTATGGGAGGGGTGGGGGGGATCCCCAGCGCCTATAAAACTGTACTACATAATATAATGTAAGCAACAATAAAAAAAAATAATAATAAAAAAAAAGAAAAGTACAGGGCCACGTGTTTTAGAGATCTTTTAAACATATAGCTTTGCTATCCAATACTAGCTTAACACTTATTGCTATTATGGTTGGAATCATCTTTCTTCTCATGAAAACTGATGGGTGCCAGTATGTCTAATACATTTCAATATTAGAAAAAAAAAAAAAGAACCTCAATGGCAGAAAAATAACTTGATTATATTCCAGGGCTCAGAGAACTTGTCTGTACAAGAAGTGCTGAAGGCCCCAGGGAAGAACAGAAACAAAATAAGGACAGGAGCATTATTCACTGGTCCATCCAAACACTACCCCTCTAGTCTTCTTTTTATTTTATTAATTATGTTGCATTGTATGACAAGGTTTCATATGCTCTGGGATGAACATAACACTCCAGGGTCTCAAACAGGGTGTCTGTTGTTCAAATCACATCAGAAGCTTCCACAGCTTTTACATGTGGATTTGCAGATTCCTTGCTTCCCCTCCCCACCAGATCTACTGGATCTAAATCTCTGCATAGTGAGGCTCAGATATTCACACTTTTAACCAAGATTTTTTGGAATAGTGCTGAAACTTATTAACATTTGAGAAGCATGATTTTACTTTGACCTAAACCTTGTTGGCTGGCAGATGCTATGGGGTGTTTTCCTAGACTTATTTCTTTTCATATTGAAAACCCTGATGAAGGATTTTTTTCATGTAGATAATACATTCAAAGTATTAACTATAGAGTAGAAGCCAAGAAGGGACTCGGGGCTTGAAAAACAGAAAAGATAAATATTTTAGAATCACAGTGAACAGAATAAAATTAAATAGGACAAAATCATGAGGGATCCTGCAACCTAATGAAAGTTGGGCATTACCAGCATGTGGGCAATACTCACTTTCTCAACTTACACTTCTCTCAGTATCTCCTGAACTCATTCCAGTAAGGTGTTCATCCCAAATCACTCCATTGAAACTGCTTTGGTCAAGATATCAATGGCTTCATCATTGCCAAGTTCAGTTCTCATTTTGAATCATCTATCTGCTCCACTGACATACCTGAGCCATCTACCTATCTTCCTTCCTTTTGGAAGAACATTTTATTGAAGTGAAATATGTATAAAGTTCATAAATATTAAACGTATATGCAAATGGATGAATTATCACAAATTAGATACATGTGTGTAATCACTGTTCAAATTATAGAATATTATCAGCATTCAACAGCCTCCCGAATGACCCTGCTAATCATTATGCCCAAAGTAGCCACTAATCAGTATCACTACAGAATAATTTGTTTTCAACTTCATATCAGAATAAAAAGCATATACTATTTGAATACTCTTTAATTTCATATTCTATTGCTCATATTATTGCATGTACCAGTAATTTTTTTTTCATTTTAGTGAAACTATAGGAATAAACCACAATTATCATTCATTCTATCACCGGTAGATGTGTAAGTCAGTTTTGATATTTTGAATGAAACTTATGAATATAATATACAAGTTCATTACCAAATCTACTGTTAAAATCTATTACTAAAAATTATTTAAATTGCTGTGCCATTCAACTTAGCAGATAGAGTCAAATGGTTCATTCCCACCACCAGGGTAGGAGAATTAGCTACTCCATATCCTCACCAACAATTGGTACTGTCAGTGTTTAGGTGTTTCTCCAGTGTTGTGGTGCAGTGGGTTCAACTGCCCGCAGTAATGCATATCCATGCATATCCAAGTGCCAGGTCAGGTCCTGACTGTGGCTGGACCCAGCCATAGCATGATGACAGCCATCTGGGAAATAGACTAGGGAATGGAAGATCTTTCTCTTAGTGTCTGTGTCTCCCCCTCTCTTTCTGGCTCTTTCTATTTAGTTTTCAAATAAATATATTTTTTTTAAAAAACCATCTTGGGAAATAATACTTTGCCTTAAATTTTCTTTTATCATTTACAATAGGAGAACTTCACCAGCTTTCCTTTGATTATTAGTACAGACATCTCTTTTTCCCATGGTTTTAAAACTTTAAGTTATTTTGTATTTAGTGGGCCTCTCTTACAAGTAGTGTATATTTGCATTTTGTTTTGATTCAATCTGACAATCTCTGTCTTTTAGCATCTTGTCTATGGAGGATTATGTCATTTAATATTTTACTAGACTACAACAGATTGACATAAATTTACATTTACTATGTTACTATTTTCTAACTTTTTTGATTCTGTTTTTCCTCTTATTGCTTTTTTTTAGAATCAATTTTTATAATACTATTTCTTCCTCCATTAGCTTATTGGTTATACATTTTTATTAAAAAGATGCATTTATTTTCATTGGAAAGGCAGATCTACAGAGAGAAGGAGAGAAAGAAAGATCTTCCACCCACTGGTTCATTCACCAAGTGGCCACAATGACCAGAGCTGAGCCAGTTTGGAGACAGGAGCCTGGAGCCTCTTCCAGGTCTCCCATATGAATGCAGGATCTCAAGGCTTTGTGCTGTCCTTGACTGTTTTTCTAGGCCACAAGCAGGGAGCTGGATGGGAATTGGAGCAGCTGGAACAAAAATCTGTGCCCACAAGAGATTCTAGCACATGTAAGGTGAGGACTTTAGTCACTAGGCTACCACGTTGGGTTCTATTGGTTAAACATTTATTTTAGATGCCAGAAGTTGTTTCAGACTGTTATATAGTTAGTCATTATTTTGTTGGCAGTGCAAATATCTTAAATACCTAATCCTCATTTAACTACCACATTTGAGCTTTTTATGATATTGTTTTCATATATTCTAAATCTACACATATTGTAAAACCCACCAAATGTAACATATTGTTGGAACAGTCAGTATTTTGTTACATTGCCCATGTATTGATCAATTCCAGGTCTTTGTACCACCCTTAACTGCTGTGTGGTGTTTCCATCTGTGTTTGTTTTTTTTTTTCTGCCTGAAAATCCTGCATAAAGTAGTATTTCCGCAGCAGCAAATTTCCATTAGTTTTTATTTGGATAAAAGTATCTTAGTTTACCTTCACTCTCGAATATTTAGATTGCTTTAATTTCTGAAGAATACATTCACTAGATATTGAATTCTAAGTTGAAATGTTTCAATATTTAAAACTATAATTCCAGAGCTAACATGATGGCAGAGCAGTCTAATCCTCCATCTGCAGCACTGGCATCCCAATATGGTTGCTGGTTTGAGTCCCAGCTGCTCTACCTCCAACCCAACTCTCTGGTTATGGCCTGGGAAAGATGCAGAGGATAATCCAAGTCCTTGGGCTACTGCATCCATATGGGAAGTCAAGAAGACCTGCATGCTGTATTTTAGGTTCAGACTTAGTAGCTCAAGTCCCAAGTATATTTATATTTTCAAACTCCAAACTATTCTAGTTCAGAGAGACAGTTACAAGTCCAAGATTTGTTTTGTATTCAATTGCTCTATCCATGAGTCAAGGAATACTTCAAAAAAAAAAAAAAAAACTTCTTTTTGTGCTTAGAATCATGGTTACTATCCTGGTTATGTTCTAATATCTAACAGAATTTTACTTTATTTTCATATTTTTGTTTTATTTATACATTTTATTCAATTTTAATTGTCATGGATATGATCATTCCAATCATACCAAGAGCATAATTCCTTCCTTCTTTATAATATGTTGCCTCCAAAGCCATATTCTGCCTATGCTAGCCAGCCCTTCCTTCCAACCCTGTATTAAGGGCTCTTCAATTCTTACACCTCTTCTCCACTCCATCTACCTTTATTCTTCAGGGCATCTCATTTAGCCATACAACTTCTAACGGCAACTAACCTCTGAGAATATCCTATGTTTTACTTATTTGCAGGAGGATCACCCGTTATAATTTGACCACAAACTACTTATTTGACATCCCCACTTGCTTATCTAGTAGGTAACTCAAATTTGCATTGCCCAAATTAATCATTTGGTTCTTCCCATACTGTAAGTCCTATTCCACACAGAATTCTCCACACAAACTGATGAAAATTCTTTCCAACTTTTGAGATGTCCTAGCCAAAATCTTCAGTGATTACAAAATTATTTATAAAAAGGAATAAATTTCATGCATTTCATATATACAGTTTTAAGAACTTTACTCTCCCTTCTGCTTTTCTTATTTTTCTTTTAATTTTTTTCTATCATGCTCCTCTTTTAAGACTTCAGTAAATCCTACTGATTGATTCTTTAAAATGCATCCAGATTTTCAACCACTGTCTCCAATGCTATCATTGAGATTGGAGCACCACTGTATCTTAGCCCTCAGTCTACTTCAAAAGACTCCCTTATTATCTCCCTTTTATTAATAAAAGAGAGTACAAAGATATTTTCAAAATATATGTCCTATCACCCATTTACTCAATATCCTGCAATCTCTCCTTATCACTTAAAGTAAAACAAAACAAAACCAACAATGTCCTCATCTTTCTCCTTAATTTTTCTTAGTTCTTCTCCTACTTTTTGGCTTCTCCATTTATTCTGCAAAGGATACACTACTCCCCTTGACCTGTAAGCATATCCTGCTTTAGGATCCTGGCACTAAGTATTCCTTCTATCTGGTATATTCTTCTCCAAAGTATCTACAAGCCTCACTCCTCATCTTCTAAAAGCCTTTCCTCAAATGTCTTATTTTCATTAAAGTCTACTTTAATACTCTATTTCATATAGAATCTTCAAGGACATCATATTATTTTTGTCACACTATTTATTATATTCCTAATATCCGAAATATCTTCTCATTTTTATCACATCATATCCTCTGCCTTTGTCTCCTAAAATAGAACTTGTTTAAGGATATGGGTCACTGTTGTCTCGGCTTAATAATACATTTCAAACACTTGGAGTAGCTCTTGGAACATAGTTTTCACTTGGTTTTAAATATAGTAAGACTTAGAATTTCTTACAACCTTGATTTCTCAATGTACCTACAGAACATTAATGGGTATTCAATTAATATGTCTTTGGAATAAGGAAATGAATGAATAGGTCAGCTACTGTGAGTTTTGATTTTGAAACAGTAAGATTTCCTTCACAAAATGAATATTAAACATAGCGATACCATGTTGATTTGACGGAATTAAAACATGCGAAGAACTAGCACAGGTTAACCCACACTTGTGACTCTGGCATCCCACTTGGAGCTCCAATTTTGAGTTCCAGCTGTTCCATGTCCACTCCAGCTGCCTGTTAATGTACCTGAGAAGGCAGCAGATCATGGTTCAAATATTTGACTGCAGTTGCCATTTTAGGCATGAACTAGCAGGAGGATGATCTCTGTCTCTTCTTTCTAGCTCACTCTACCTTTCGAATAAATTAAACATATCTTTTATTTAAAAAATTGAACAGTTTAATATATTCTTTATAAAAATGACAATGGTGATTAAAATATCATTAACTAGAATCTAATGCTAGGGACACAGTTAAAAAATAGTATGTACACTATTATAAAACATTTGAATTCAAAATTTATAGGGGTTTCTTAAACATTATATTAATAACTGAAATTTTTTGGTGTGGCTTCTGCTCTGTTAAATGTGGGATGAAGGAGAGCATTTCCAGCAAGTTCAGCTTTAAGAACACACATGAGTCCACAAGGAAAGAACTTTCTTGGGTTCCAGTCCTGGACACCGTCTCTAATTGTATAATGTGCAGGTTTACATACATACAATGTATGTATGTACAGACTACAGAGTGGATTTTCAGTTTTCATGATTCTATCATTTGTGAATTCATCACTTTGCTCAATTTTTTGTAATTTCCTTAGCCTTAAGTATCAATATTTTTAGGAATTTCTACCATTTGGAGGCATACATGTTGTACATAAAACATCTCATATATGAGTTGATGAGTATATTCCTAGTTGAATTCAATTAAAGCAATGCTCTACCTTCTCATGCATTCTATATTTTCATTGGTTCTTTCACTGTTTAAAATAATGAGCCACCTAATCAAGGTGAAGCACACGGAGGATGCTTCTATCTTGTTAGTTTAGTAAACTAAAATTTCTAGGTTATCTCCCTTGGGAATTCTACATCAGAAGATAAGAATGCCGAGTCCTCATAGAAAGTTCCCAATGCATTAAAATAAAGAAGACCCCCTCCTTTAAAGAGTAAGTTTAGTACAAAAATTAAAAGCAAAACTCCAGGGTAGAGAAAATCTGGGCTCAGATTGATTCACCATTGCTTCCTGCCAATGATATCACCTCATAACCCCACTGATTTATAAAGTGAGGACAAGAACAGGACCGACTTCACAGAGTTGTGACGAAGCCTAAGTGCTGTTCATAGGGATATAAACTGACATGGGGTTGATACATTGTAGGCATACTGCATTTTACGTAAGCATTCAACAGTAAGAACTGTGGACTATGAACAATAACAATGTAAACAAATAATAATGGCCAATGATTATGACTTGACTTCCACTAAAAATAATCAAACTAATAGTCTGAATGTGGGATATGCATCAATATCCACAGAATCTCCATGTATAAGTTCCCTTCTACTTCACTCTTCTATCTGCAGCATTCTTTTACAAGTCCATGGAATTCTTGTTCTGACATATCACAAACAAATTTTTATCCAGCCAAGTTTGAATGTCTCCTTTGCTTCACAAGGGAAGCGGGAGGACTAAGGGTGAGGAAGTGGTAGAGAGAGGCCAGGATAGTGCTCTCTCCTTCTGCTTCTATTGGTCCAGAGCTCATTCTCAATCTCTCCTCCCCAATCTCCAGATGCATGTAAAAGGATCCTGAGACTAATTTTGAAGTGACTACCTGACAACTTTCTGTGAAAATAAGGGATCCAGATTTTATATATATACATATATGTATATATATATATACATGATTATATATATACATGATTATATATATACATATATATATATGCTATTTCATAACATTGGTTCATAAGAGCTAGAGGACTGTTGAAGATTGTCTAGGCAAGGATGAGACAATTATATGTCAACTAGACTAGGGCCAAAGGGTAATCAGTCATTTGACTGAAAATTATTATGGGTATGTCAGTGATGATATTTTTTTATGAAATTAACATTTAATCAAAGTAAAGCTTATTACCCTTCACAATACTATATTTTGAATACTCTTCTCATCCAGTCCATCAAAGGCTTGAATAGAAAAAGAAGGCTGAGTAGAAGAGAAAATTTTTGTTACTTTTCTGCCAGAATTTGGGACACTGATGTTTTCCTAGTTTATTCAAAGCATTGGCATCCATCTTGCAGATGGCAGATCTTGAGAACTGTCAACCTCCTTATAAATCCATATAAAAACCTTATAAAAATGTCTCTCTATTTTGTGAGTGCACACACATATACATACATTCTACTTGTTCTTTTTCAGGAAAGTCAATACATTGGAGTTGGTAAACCCTCCCACATCCATGGGAGACACTCCTCCCTGAGGACTAATGGAACTTGCTATTGCATCCTTTTAAAAATGCGGTAGACGGTGCTGGCCTCAGGAACTGGTTCTCCTAACTCCTGGCCCAGGAATTCCATCACATCTGGAAACCTCCATTCATACTTTTTCTGGGTCAATGCAGACTTTACAGACTCTCAGAGAGAAACAGAATGAAGATCTCTTGGGTTACATGACACATTCCAGGCCACAAGCATATTACTGCTAACCTTTGAATGCCAGCCTTGCTAGCTCTGTGTCACTGGTTAAGCTATTTAAAATTAGGAGGCTGGCTTTTCTCACAGGGAACAAGAAATAATTATAGAATTTCAAAAAGGATGCCATCAAGATCATATGTAAAGCATACAGCATGCTATGCAGTATACAATAATGTTACAGAAAAAAAAATTCATGACATTTGTCAAAGCAGTAAGGCAGATTTTATTTAAAACTCACAATTAGTTAATGAAATCACTGTATGGAGCTCTGCAGTGTTGGAGAAAGATTGGGCTCAGTTCTAAACATTGCACAGGCATGTGGGAATTTATGGCCAAGGAGCATAGAGAGTGGATGGGAAATAAATTATTACGAGGAAATGTCAGGGTAAAGAAGGATTCCGACTAAACCTGACTAATAGGGTTCTTACTGTAAACAGGCTGGAGGGATCAGATATCACCTAGGGGTGGTAGAAGAAGAGGAAAGCAACTTAGAAGGACCCATGGTATAACTGGACAATGCAGAGGTGGACATGAATGCCCCAAGTCTGTCTGTGAAGACAGCAGTGAAGGGAAAGCTCCCTGTCAGTAGGCATTAAACACTGTCACTCAGACCACTGCTGAGCTACTTCTGAACATACCTTCCCAAGTTAATACTGTCTGTTTACTTAGAACCAAGCGATGTGGATCACACAACAAACAAGTAGTGTCTGCCTGGATACTCACCAAATCAATTATGCCAATGTTATTCCAGCCTTGCATAATAGGGAGAAAAGAGATAAACATGGGGATGACCCAGCAGCCTCCCAACATCAACGCAATGCGCAGAGGGGTCATCTTGTTCCTATAGACCAAAGGCTGGCAGCAGATGGCATAATACCTGGAGAGAGAAGAGAGCAGGTGGGGCCGTGGCAAGCAGGAAGGGAAGGGAGAGAGAAGGGAGAAAGCAGGTGTGAGAGAGGGAGTAAGAGAGAGGAAAAATAAAGAAGCAGCAGAGGGGAAAGAACAGAATATACATGAAGAAGGAAATGCAGAATAATGACAAATAAAAAGGGAGATCATGAAGCAGCGAAAGGAAAGGAAGAGAAAAAGAACAGAGGAAAGAAAAAAAGCAATTACACAATAATTTGTTATACTGGCTAATGAGTATCTGTTAATACAAACATATACTTTGGAGCATGCTGAAAATCACTGCCTAAAGTCAGTGAATCCCACATCCCTCTTCACCTCTCAGAGCTCAACACACCAAAGGGTGTCCAGCAGCTTCTATCCTGCTTTTGGGCCTCCATGCCCAATCTCTGTATTTCCTTCCTTACTGCTGGATATCACTCAAGCATGTGCCTATACCTGAGATCCAACAATTTTGTCTCAGACCTGCTCCCTTCTGGATCCCTACTCCAGGCCCATGTTCCTTAACTGTGATCCAGAAATTTCGCTTCTTTCTGCATCTGACATTTCAAGGGTGTCCTGAGGAGTGTCCTGTGAGGAGTGCCCTGGAGACTGCATTTTGACCAGCAAGAATTATTATTGTTGTTTGCCAAACACTTCCCGTTTCCTCACTCCAGGCTTATGTATTTTCCGACCTCCTTAAGTTAAGTGGAGCCATGGGATTTTTGTGTCTGTGTGTCCATAGTCATGAACAGAATTGACATGTACACATCTAGCACAGACTAGTTAGTTTTGTCTCTAATGTCAAGAAAGTAAAATTTTAAGTATTTCTTGTTCCATCATTCCATGTCTACACCCCGTCCTCATTTACCAGGCTCTGATCCCCCTCACCAGGTACCGATCTCTTTCATGGCCATCACTAGTTACCCCTTCCTGAGTTCACACTCTGCCTGCAGCACCAGCTTTCCTCCTAACTCCCTACTGCAGATTTTTCTAGCTTTGGGGATCATTCTTCCACTCCCAGGCATGGCATGGAAAGAAGGTCTGTGAGCTATTTATCTTCGGGAAAAGCCTTAGGGCGAAGTCTGTTCTTTAAGATTTTATACTAAATGATAAGTCATTCCCTCATAGCCCTCATTTTATTCACTTTGTTAATTTTCCTATCTCTTTTCCTAATTCAAGTCATAAGCAATATAACAGCAGTTATACTCTTTTTGTTAAAGATTTATTTATTTTTATTGGAAAGTCAGATATACATTGAGGAGGAGAGACAGAGAGGAAGATCTTCCCTCTGCTGATTAACTAACTCCCCAAGCAGCAGAAACAGTCAGAGATTAGCTGATCTGAGTCTGGAGCCTTTTCCAGGTCTCCCATGCAGATGCAGGGTCCCAAGACTTTGGGCTGTCCTTGACTGCTTGTCCAGGCTACAAGTAAGGAGTCTGATTGGAACCAAGGCCACCAGGATATGAAACAGCACCCATAAGGGATTCTGGTCCATGCAAAGTAAAGACTTTAACCACTAGGCTATTGCACCAGGCCTACAACGGTTATACTCTTTAAAGAGAAGATGGGCTGGGTTGGCAAAGGGAGTAAAATGAGAAGGAGAACCCAGTGGTGGAATTTAAGAAGTGGGTACCTCAGAAGCTGGGAGGAGGATATGCTTCTCCCAAAGCATAAAGGAACATCCAATCACACTGTGCCAGTAAGCTTGGTGTGACTGTTGAGTCTTCCTTTACTCATTTTCTTTTAGAGGGTAAATTGTCCTGACCTGGGTCAGAGCGCAAGAAACAACAGACGAAGCGGGTGGGAGAGCACTTGCTCAGGAATTCACTTTCTCCGTCTACAAAACTGACATGGTGGCAAAGTGCTGCTGAAGATGGTTCAGTAATGGAAAGAATCACGATCAGCTGATATTTTCTCTTCTTGGTTTATAAGAAAATTACATCACATTGGCAAACTTCTCAGAATACCAATCAGCATGAGAGGTTTATTAACACAATGAATGGTGAATTTGAAGTGGATGAAAAGTCAGAAAATGGTCCTGACTTTTGATGATTCCACTTAGGTCATTTTCAATTTTGATGGCACAAAAGTAATAGGTAGCACCCAGAAAAGACCACACTTTGAATTCTGCATTTGGATCTTTTCCTTGGCTCGGGTTATGTGGTAGGAGAGTCCCCTGTGATGCTGGACGGCAGCAATAAGCCCTAGCTCCCAGTCAGCTCCTCAAGCACAAGGGCAAAAGACTGGTATTGTCAGTATATTGTGATGACCAGTAAAATAAATGCGCTAAATGAATTTTGAAATGCTATTTTTAGCTTAAACCAGAGAGTCCCTGTACATTTTTTTTTTTAAAAAAAGAAATCTGATCCTTTCCTCATTTTCTACTTAAAGGGTAGATTTTTTTTAAACCAATTTTAATCTTGTCTCATTTCCCTTAGTATAGCATCCCAACTCCTTTGGAAATAATGTCTTCTCTGTTGCCACAGAATTAATGGAAAAGTAAATGACAGGATTCTGACTCTCTGCCCAAGGCAGGACTCCATCAGATCCTCTCCTGGGACTCTGAACACCTGATAATAAAGGGCAGGAGGTCAGTGAAAGTCCCTTGACTCCAGCACTAGCCCCTGGACTACTGGAGTTCAACTCTCACTCCTTCACTCTTTGGGAGAGATGTTTTTACCTTTCACATCTTATCCTTCAGCCCTTTCTTCAATTAAATAACCCACCTCATATCTCTCCCATACATTCCCTGTTGCTTAAGCTGGCATTATAGGTTGAACTGTCATCCCACTCTTCCAAAGATTTGGAAGGAAATCTATACAGAAACATTTTACAGAAAATAATCAAATTAAAATAAGGTCTCCAGAAACAGGTACACAAGTGCACAGAGGAAACACGGCTATATGAAGACAGAGAACCGGGATTAGGCATCTATATCCAAACACCAAATACTGTCATCAAATCAGCAACTCAGGAAAAGGTAACAAAGAATTCTTTCCCTGAAGTATTCTGAGGAAGGATTTCTATGCTGACACCTTGGTTTCAATCTCCTAGTTCTAGAACTGTCAAATAACACATATCTGTTAACCCAGGCCAAGCATAACTTTATTATGACAGCTCTAAAATATTAATATGGTGAGCTGAATGCAGTACACTTATGTCCTTTAAAATCAGAATATGTAAAAGAAGATGGGGCTGGCACTGTGACATGGTAGGTTAAGCCTTGGCTTATAGTGCTGGAATTCCAAATGAGTGCCTGTTTGAGTCCTGGATGCTTCACTTCCAATCCAGCTCTCCCTTACAGCCTGGGAAAGTAGCAGATGCATCCATATAGGAGACATGGAAGAAGCTCCTGCCTCCTGGCTTCAGATCAGCTCAGCTACAGCAACGGCAGCCATTTGCAGTGTTAGCCAGCAGATGGAAGACCTGTTTCTCCTCTCTGTATTTCAAATAAAAATAAACCTTAAAAATATTTAAATCAGAAAAGTATTATTTTATTTTAATTTATATTAAGTTAGCAAATGGTGGTAGTAAGGCTATGACTCAAAAACTATCCTAGCTGTGTATATGCTTTACTTAAATATTGTCTCTACATAATCTTCAGTTTGAAACTCTTTCTTGGCATAATAATAACTTGACTGATTAATATTATTAACTCAACCAGTGTCCTTTGTCTGACCGCCAAAGAACTTGCAAATTTCCTTAGCAATTTTGCCTGTTAATATTTTACAGGCACTGAAAGGGCAGTTCATAATAAAACTATTGTTTCTGTCATTGTTGCTATTTTTTTCATTAAAAAATCTAAAAATATGAGTAATTATTGAAAAAATGAGGTAATTTATGACTGCTAAGAATCATGAACACAGAAAGTCAAATTGATATTGTGAATCTTACAGTCTCTACTCCATTCTGAATTACATGCCAATATCTATAATTTGTATTATATTACATAGTATTTGCAATTAATTTTGAGAAATGAATTCTATAAAGTCATCCATTTCACAAATGAAGAGAGAACCAAGAAGAGCTGGGGATTTGGCCAAGTTCTTACAAGTGGTTAGAGATGAGCTGGCATCAGGTCCTGACAGTGTTATTCAAAGATCAGGACACTCACTTTATCACTATCACTTCACACTGCTACTGCTTCCAAATCCCAAGGGATTTATTTTAATTCTCTAGAAGCTACTTTAGAAATAGTCAAAACACAAAAATACTGAGCCTTAGGACTTGCAGGGTGCTCAGAATTATGAAATCCCCAAATCCTCTCTAAAATGAAGTGCACACTCAGGCCTGCTTCAATTTGTCCAGGACTATGGATTCACTAAGTCCGATCACAATCCTACACTCACAAATATCCTGACTTTAAGTAAGTTTCCTCTAAACTAGATTTCTTTTTATAACTAAGTTTTACCCCCTAGTTTGATACAGAATTCCTGGCTTTTTGTTTTATTTATTTATTGTTTGTTTGTTTTGGTCATAACCAGGAGGCTGATGCTACTGGCATCAAGTGGTTAAGGGTGCCACTAAACTCTACATTGAATAAGGCAGCTCCACTCACTGAGGAATTATATGGTCTCCTAGGTTAACAGTGCTGAGACTGAGAACTGCTGGTTTATTTGATCTGATTTTTACTCATAGAAGAGCTCCATTTCCTCTGTATCTGCTATGATGTGTCATCACTTCTTGAGAAAAGAGTGCCACAATGGGAACACAGCATTATACTGAATCCTTCATGGATAAGAAGAAACAATTGCATTATTTTAGACACTGCCGACCATAACATAACACAACCTAAGAAATACTGAGAAGGAGAAAACATTTGTTCCCTCTCCAAGAGCATATGATCCAGGACAAAAGATGGGGGAAATCTACCTTTGACCATAAAATCCAAAAGAACAGTTGTTTAACTTGTTCACTGCCGTATCCCCTGTCCAGTCACAGTCATTGTATCTTTCTGTCTCTCAGATAGTTTTTTTTAAAAAAGCAAAA